TTGTTTTCTTTCACTAAGAATTGTCACTGTTATTTTACTGAGAAAGAAGGCAGAGCATTCACATTCTTTTTTTGGATACTAATTAGGTTACTGACTGAAAATATTTTTCTAGTTACCACTAAAAATATTTAACAAGAATTTTCAATGTTAGACCAAATTACAAAATATTGTTATTGCAATTAACAGTGAATATAAGGCCCTAAATATATTGTGGGAAAGTATTCTGTTCCAGAATAAATCCCCATTTTTTAAAAAAAAATTATTTTAGAGAGAGAGAGTGAGCATAGAGAGTGTGCACACACATGAGCGGGGAGAAGGGTAAAGGGAGAGAGAAAAATCCTCAAAGCTGAGTCACCACGGAGCCCAGAGCCCCAAGCGAAGCGAGGCTTCATCTCATGTGGGGATCCATCTCACAAATGTGAGATCATGATCCCTGATCATGATCTGAACCAAAATCAATAGTCACTTAACTGAATAAGCCACCCAGGCGCCCCTAAAACCCAATTTCTTAATCTGAATGTTTGTTAAGAATCTCCCTTACTAAAGGTTAAAGTAACTAGACTGGTGTTTGAGAAACCTCGTTGCATTTCCTGCTCTGCAACTAACTACCACAGTGGGCTTTAAGGCTATCTCTTGGCTTTTCATTCAGGGTAAGAATGTATTCTGACAATCCTTTTTAGGTCTCAAAACCTAGAAAATAATAAATTTCAAGTAAAAAAAAAAAAAAACACATCACTACAGTTATGTATGTTCTCACTAACACCACATACTTTGTGAGAGGAGCTAGGTGAAGTTTTTAATGGTGGATTTAATTATTGCTGAGGTCTAATTTGATTTTGAACTTATCTTCAAGATGTGATTTAAGTTTGTAAATTAGTGTCAAAGAAAAATTATACTTTTCACTGTACTTTCAAATAATAAAGCATTAAGACTTTTTTTTTAAGATTTTATTTATTTATTCATGAGAGATACAGATAGAGAGGCAGGGTCATAGGCAGAGGGAGAAGCAGGCTTCCTGTGGGAGTCTGATGTGAGAGGATGTGCGCCTCAACCCTAGGATCCTGCGATCACAACCTGAGTCAAAGGCAGAGGCTCAACCACTGAGCCACTCAGGTGCTCCTGAGATTGGGTTTTATACTAAATGCTAGAACATATTTTATTTCCCATAAGTTGCAATAAATGACTCCTAACATACTAACACCACTATCATGTGAGCTCTGAGAAGGTTGAGCTTGTAGTTTATCTACATAGCACTTTGGTTTTTAGTTATTGCTCTACAGTGTTGAATGAACAAACTCAGTATAGACAGATTAAATACTTATAAAATTCTAGTTCCAGTAATTATAAAAAGCCTTCCAAGAAATGTCAGATAAAATGTAACATGCACTTGAAGTGCACAGTTGAGCTGGAAAGGAAATAGTCATGGGCCAGAAATTACTGGTACTGCAGTGAATGAAAATGGAAGATAGAAACACTTTCTTGAGACTTGGTTTTTACCACCCACACAAAGGAAGGACACAAAGGAACCAGAACTAGAACTTTAAAAGAGATAAACAATCAACAGAAGGATGAACCAGGAGGAAAACATTCCAAATAAGCTTTAAGGAAGTGTACCCATCTTGATCTGGCTCTAGAGGAGGAGAGGAAAAAGGAGTCCTAGATAATCGGTCAGCCCAGGGCCTACCCCAATGTCACTCTGGTCTGTTCTGAATTTGAATTTATGCTATGCTTGTGGGCCAGAAATCCTTGAACTGAGAATTTAACATAAAAATCACCCAGGTTGTCTGGGTAGTTCAATGGGTTAAGTGCTTTCCACTCACGTCAGGATCCCTGGGATCCCGGGATGGAGCCATGCTTTGGGATCCCTGTTCAGTAGGGAGCCTACTTCTCCCTCTCCCTCTGACCCTCACATCCCCACTCCTGCTCTCTCTAATAAATAAAATCTTTTTTAAAAAAGTAATAATAAAAAAGTAAAAATCAACTTTAGACTTGTTATATTACTATATAACCTGACAAAAGCAAATTTATAAAATCACTTTGTAAGTAAAAGGTGTCTTCAATCCAGAATTTCTTCAAATAATTAAAATGAAAGCATAGGGAGCAAAAGTCTAAATTCATAACAAATGCCAAGATTTGGTCACTAATTACATAAGGTAACTGGACAATCTGACAACTTCTATTTAACAAGTACCATGACAGAGTATCAAACACTAGAGAAAGGTATCATAGAATACATTTAACCCCCCTTCTCTCCAACTAATGACCACGATACCACTCAGCCTCTAAAACATTATACAGTGTATATAATGTTGGGTCCTTCCATTTGCTTTCACCTACTTGATGAAAAGCAGAATGAACGATCTTTAAAATGCTAAAATACCCAGCAGTGTTTAAGTGAGTCTGTACACAATTTACCCATTTTAATAACCAGCAGGACTGGAAAAAACCGGAGAATCACTATAGGATAGGGTGACCACTGTGTCTTCAAAACAACATTTTACTACATGTTTTTAAACTATGTGAATTCTGCAATAAATGTTTTTAGATATTCTGTCTTAACTCATGACCCTGTATGAGGAAGAGAGAAAACAAATTTTTCCCTTGAAAATATGTTATTAAAATGACTATATTTAAGTCTAGTACTGCACAGGAAAAGAGAAAAGGAACTTGTTAAAAAGGACACAAGCAGAGCCTACCAGAGCAAGGGGGCTGAGAACATTTGCACCTCCATACAGACATAAATGCACACAGCGCATTTTTAATGAAGGATAGTTAATTTAAGTTAATGTATACTATATTAAGTGTGATGACCCTAAGAACAAAGTCCACTCACAATTCACAGATGCAAACAACACAATATCAGCAGTACAAATAAATCACGAGAATCTGGCATATGAAATTTAAAATGAGAGGAAAGCATGGTGGATATCCTTCTGTCATGAGCAAAGGCAGACATCCAGAAATCACTAGCAAAACCACTTATTATTTGCCATGCTAATAATAGTGTTCATAAACTTGACAGCATTCTGAAAAAAATCACTTACCCATGGTTCATTTTAAGCCTTACTAATGTACACAGCATTGAAAGTTATTTAAAACAATTTTAACATTGCCATTTTTCTTCTGGAAATGACAGCCAATACAAGAAGCATAAAGATTAAAAAAATAATAATCATGATCTCTAAAAGTGGCACACCTACTCATATTAATAACATAAAGATAAATACTTCTGAAAAATACTTAAATTTTAAGTCTGAAGCCAGTTGGGCTGGGGAGAAATTAATTTTGTACACATTCTCATGACGTGTGTTTATAGGAGCAATTTGAGTTATAACTGTGACTATACTGATTCTAAACAGGAAATGAGGAAGGAGAACAACAAAAAATTTCATGTACAAAATTCGAGTGACAAAGGAAAATGGTACACATTTCTAGTTATCAAATAAATACGTCACAGGGATATAAAGTAAACATACTGACTATAGTTAATATCGTATTGCATATCTGAAAGGAGGAGAATGGATATTTAAAGTTATCACAAGAAAAAAATCTTTGTAACTATGTATGATAATGGATGTTAATTGGACTTCTGTGGTGACCATTCTGCAATATATATAAAAATATTAAGTCCTTACACTAGATACCTGGAACTTAATAATGTTATGTCAATTATACTTCAATAAAAAATTTTCAGAAAGTACCTGGGAATTTTAACATAGGATGTAGGTTTTAACTTCAACTAAATTTTACTAATATCTAGGTTAAAAAACTATATTCCCAACCTCCACCACCCCCTACACACAGTATATGTATCTAATTTATGGAGAAGTTACTATTTTTTCCATTCTTCAACTAGAAATTGGAGAAGGGGAGAGGAAGAGAACAGGAATTTGTTTTTGAACTTCCTCAAGCTCTTCAGGAAAAAGTTAAAAATATTCATATTAGAAATTAATATAATAGTATTCTTTTCATTAGAATTTTAGCTAAAAATTTCTATAATTATCCCTAAGGGATCCAGAGAGAAAAGAATATATGGAGGACCCCTGAACAACATTGGTTTAAACTGCATGGGTCCACTTATACCTGGGTTTTTTGTGGGCTTTTTCCCTACAAATGTAATATAGTCACCTGGGTGACTCAGTCAGTTAAGCATCTGCCTTCAGCTAAAGTTATGGTTATGGGGTCCTGGGACTGAACCCCGAGTCTGGCTCACTACTCAGTGGGGAGTCTGCTTCTCCCTCTTTCTCTGCCCTCACTGCTCACCCCACTCATGTTCTCTCTAAAATAAATAAATAAAATCTCTTTTAAAAAGTACAATAATGTAGGGCAGCCTGGGTGGCTCAGCAGTTTAGTGCCGCCTCCTTCAGCCCAGGGTGTGATCTTCGAGACCCGGGATCGAGTCCCGTGTCGGGCTCCCTGCATGGAGCCTGCTTCTCCCTCTGCCTGTGTCTCTGCCTCTCTCTCTCTCTCTGTATCTCTCATGAACAAATAAATAAAATCTTTAAATATAAATAAATAAATAAATAAATAAATAAATAAATAAATAAATAAATAAATAAATAAATAAAAAGTACAATAATGTAAATGTATATATACTCTCTATCTTGTGGGGTTTTTTTACATTTTTTTCCCTAGTTTACTTTATTGTACAGATATAATATATAATACATATGAGATACAAAATATGTGTTGACTGTTATGTTATATATTAATTATGTTATCAGTAGGGTATCCAGTCAGTATTAGGCTATTAGGTATTGAGTTTTTGCAGGAGTCAAAAGTTGTACGTAAATTTTTTATTAATCAGGGAATGGGCACCTCAAACCCCTGCATTGTTCAAGTACTCTGTACTGTTTTGAAAATTATATTTCAGACTATCTGTAAAGCCTACAGCACAGAAACTGAAATTATTTTCTCTAAATAAGGAATACCAAATCCTTAACTAATTCTCAAAGATACCTCCATATTCAATGAAAACAACAGTTTAACAAATTACTTACTTTAGGTCCTGTAGGAGGTCTTTTGCATTAAGCATGGTTATTAAAGAGGTGGTAGCTGCAGGAATTATGATGATGGGTGTTCGAGATCCTATAAAGATAAAATTATAAAGATAACAAATATGTTGTTATTATTATTAAATGAAATATAGTTACACTCCCAATTAAAACTTAAAAGTTGGTAAATTTGTAATCTTAACCCCTTTGAGCTAAAAAAAATATTTTACATCAACAGTGATATTCAAAATTCAAAATATTTAATAATCAGTATGACCTGAACACTGACTAGTCAGAACGGATACCACACACGTTTTATATAACTGCATATAGAATCAGCCTTAATTTTGTAATATTATTTACTTTTACTTTCTTTTTTTTTTTAATTCTAAGTTTTGTTTTTTATTTAAGTGATCTCTACACCCAATATGGGGCTCGAATTCCTGATGCCAGGATCAAGAGTCACATGTTCTTCAGCCTAAGCCAGCCACACACCCCTACTTTTACTTTTTAAAATAAGTTTAGATTCATATGCACAACACCTCACCTTTCTTCTGATTTGGAGGAGGTCTTGCTTGAGAAACTGTTAATGAGAGTGAAAAAAAAAATGAGTGTCACAAAAATCACATTCTTATTTTCAAATTTACAAAGCAACTAAGGCCTAAAAATTTAAATTACATGACTAGTTATAACATTTTAAAATATATTGCAATCTTCTAAAATAACAACAATCTTCTCAAATAATTTATTTTTCTATTTCACAAAACATGAATATGCCTTACCATTATTTAACAATCTGTTATAACAAAGGAGATATACTACACTGGTAGACACTGTGTATCTATATCAATGGATGTTAAAGCCTACCAAAGGAAACAAATAGTTTTATTAACTGATAACCAATGTAGTAAATGCAAAAACATATAACACTAGGGGAAGGGCTGGGAGAAAGAAATGTGCTGAACTATTTAGGAGGGAAAAGAAAGGCATTATTGGGAACTAAGACCTAAAATATTTTTTACCATTTTTCTCTCTTCCTATTTGCTTTTTGTTCTTTAGAAGACAACATTACAGGCAATGAGTCATGTAAAGGTCTGTATTATCTTGAATTGCCCATATTATTATTATTTTTAAGGATTTTATTTATTTGAGAGAGAGAGACAGAATATGAATGAGCAGAAGGCGAAGGAGAGAGAATCTGAAACAGACTCCAAGCTGAGTGCAGAGCCTGATGTGGGGCTCAATCCCAGGCCACAAGACCATGACCTGAGCTAAAACCAAGAGTCAGACACTCAATCAACTAAGTCACCCAGGCACCCCAAGTTGCCCATATTATTAAAATTGTGAATGTATGTTATAAAAACACAAATATTCATCTTCTCACTATCTGTCTATATAACAGACTTTATAACACACAGAAACATTTGTTGGTATAATAACAGCAATATCAGCCTGGTTGAAGATTAATGTATTTTAGAACTTAAAAATGCTGTACATTCAAGTTTCAGAATTTACAATAAAAATTTACTGACTGCTTTCTATGTGAAATGTGTGTACTGTGTTAGAATTTCTATCTCCCCCCCCCCTTTAAGGATTTTATTTATTTATTCATGAGAGATGCAGAGAGAGAGAGGCAGAGACATAGACAGAGGGAGACGCAGATTCCCTGCAGGGAGCCTGATGTGTGACTCAATCCCAGGATCTGGGGATCATGACCTGAGGCAAAGGCAGATGCTCAATCAGTGAGCCACCCAGGTGGCCCAGAATTTCCATTTTCTTAAATCACGAAAATAAATAAAAATTTAGGAGATTTAAAATTCTAACTCAACATCAGTTAAAAACAGATTACCACTTTTAAAGGGATACATGCATTTTTGGAATGTGTTCTATTTTAAAAGCAGTAAAATGCTACATTTTCACTTAATACTTTGTATTCTTTTGTATAGCTACTTATTGTGATAAAATTTTATCAGTCCAGTAGTATGATTTTTCTAGCCACATTAGGTAGTGAAAGATACATGTAAATAAAAGTTCACACATATGTATATTTATTATAGTGTTCTCATACCTTTCTTCTTGCTGAGAAAAAAACAGTAAAGCTTTCTTAAATCATTTTTAGAAACAGGACTCATAGAAACACCTGATTAGCGAGATAGCATCATCTGAAACACAATATAGTCTCAGTAAATATCTGGTAGTTGTTGGAGGGATAAGGTAATGACAGGGTGGAGAGATACATGAATAACAGGAGATGGGACTTGCTATGAAAATGACTAAGAAGGGCAGCCCTGGTGGCACAGCGGTTTAGTGCTGTCTGCAGCCCAGGGTGTGATCCTAGAGACTTGGGATCAAGTTCCATGTTAGACTCTCTATATGGAGCTTGCTTTTCCCTCTGCCTGTGTCTCTGCCTCTCTCTCTCTCTCTCTCTCTCTAATAAATAAATAAAATCTTAAAAAAAAATGACTAAGAGGAGCAACAAAAAAGATTTGACTGAAACACCATGGTTTGGTGAAGAAGTAGACAATGGACTCAGGAATTTAGGAAAACACTTACTAAAAATGCAAGAGTGAGAAGACCCCATATAAGAAAAAGACAAAATATAAAAGCACACATATTAAAAATAAAGTTTAGAGACTTAGTAAGAAATAGCTACAAAAGAATATATGAACAGGTTCCCTGGTTAAGTAAAGAGCAAGGTATAGACACTATGACAAACGCACTATGTTAAGCTTGATTTAAAGTGGGAGGGGAGAAGAAAGGGCAGAGTAACACCAGTCCACATGGCAAAATGATTAAGAGCCAGAATCTATATATTAGTGATCTCAATTCCTATCCCCATTTTGCCACTTCCTAGGCAAATTACCCTAGGAAGTCAAACTGATAGACTGCTCTGTATCAGTTGTCCTCAAATATAAAACAGTAATAATAGTTTCTACATTTTAAAACTGCTGTGAGAATCTTAAAAACAACAATGCATGTTAAGTCCTTAATCAGAACTAAATATTTAATATTTAGCGAACTCTGTCGCTATAGCTGATCTTAAATGCTACTGCTTCTAGTGCCACTAACACTGCCTTCAGCAAATGCCATGACTGAAAATTTACAAGCTGAGAATAATTATTATTGATGCTATGTTTGATTTCTAACATAATAACAGTCTTCACTTAAATATTCAGAGCCTTATGTACAAGGCCCTCTTATTATTATAAATAAAACAGAAACAGTCCCTGTCCTCAAAGACCCTTCAGTAAAAGTAGGGGAGCCAGACCATAAATAAGCAAGCACACAAAAACATATAAACATATGTGAACATGCAATATTAAGGAACAAAAGGTGTGTACACTGACAGAAAAGTGTGCTTTGGCTTTAGAGAACCTCTCGAAAAAAGTAGCATTTAAACTGAGAGTTCAAGGATGACAAGGAGCCAACTTGCAAAGAATAAGTGGACGAAATGCCCACATTGGAGGGAGGAATGTGAGCATATGCCAAAGACAGGAAGAAACTGCTGTGCTTAGGGAACTGCAAATGTATAGACTATAGGGACAAAAGAAAGAGTGGCAGGAGAAGAGGTCTAAAATACATGCAGAAATCAATATATATAAAAAGCTTTCTAGGTGATGTTAGGTTTGTATTTAAGTGCCACTGAAAACCCTGTAACTTTTAAGCCAGAAAATGACATAACTTGATTTTCATGTCACATCTTCACATCTTCTATAAAGGAAAAACAATAGATTTAGATAAGTGATCAAAAGGGGACAAGCATGAAAGCAGAAAGCTCAGTTAGAACTATTAACAGTCCACAGTGGTACTACTGAGGTGTAAAGATAAGAGTATTTTTTTGAATTTTAAAAATTTCCAATCCAAGGTCAAGTGAGTAAAATTCAGTAACAACGAATTACTAGAAAATGATCACACACTTGGATGTCGTGACAGTATTGTACTCTCAATTTCCATATGTAGCTTATTGGAAGCCAGAAATAGGTCATGGACTAACACTTCAAGCAGCACTGGTCTAGAGAATGATAATGGTTTGGATTTAAGTTGTGGTAGTAGAGATGAAAAGACAAATCTGAAACACAGAAAAGGTAAATTTGACAGAACTCACTGACGTAAATGCAAAAAGTGAGTAATGAAGAATAACTGCTGAATTTTTTGCTTAAGAAGCAGAGTTGACAGTGGTGCTATTTATTCATGAAGAAGACACCTGGGAGAAAACATCAGGGAACAGAGGTTATACATCAGTTTTAAGATGCCTATGGCATATCCAAATGTTAAACAGTTTATATAAGATACCAGATGTAAGAAAAGCTGTCTGATTTGGACATACAAATCTGAAAATCATCAGCACACAGATATAAACCTATGGAATAAGATACTAGAACCAGAACTATCTGTTTAAAATACACAAGCAGCTAATTCTCTCAATCTCATATTTAAGCAGATAAATTAGAGCTATAGGCTCATTTATAGTCATTTCAGGGAATCTGTGAAATAAAAATAAAAAATTAAAGCTGGAGAAGTGAAGTACGCATTGTATATGCATGAAAAAGAGGCAGGAAGCAGGGTTCCGTAGAAGAGACTTACACTCTAAAAAGAAAGTGACAGTAAGGTATAAGCCTATAGTTTATCAAAGGCTTATCCTTCCCAATCCACTGAAAAACATGTGCTTTTTGTTAGTTACATTCTCTAAATAAGGGTTAAGAAGTTGGGAGTAACTGCAGACACTTTCAAATATCAAATTTACCTGGGGACTTGCCTGGCACAATTGATGATAAATAAACATGTGGTGAAAGAATAACAAAAAGGAAAAAACAATCAATAATGGAACTCTATATCTGAGTTGTCCCACAGAAGAGGAAAACAAAATGGTGGTTCAAAACCCCATTTCCAAATGATTTAAATTTTATGTACAAATAACAGTTATAAATGTATAATCTGTCATCTATATTACACTGCCAGATAGATTTTGAGCAATCATACATATATTTTTCAATTTTGAAAAGATAACATAAGTGAGTATGTCATACACTATCCAATATTCATTCAAAATTGGGCAGCATCCCATAAACAAACATTTCTACGCAAAAAAAAATTTCACTAATCAGACAAAGATGACAAACTGCCTAACACATCCACTCAAATCAGGTTTTATTGATAAATAAATGCTAAAAAATTGTGGAAAAAGAAGAGGAGACCTTACATGAGATATTAGTTCACATTAATCTCAATCAGTTTAATCACCAGTACCCCTCTCAAGAACAACTGAAGAAGAATGACAGAATATTAAGAGTTGAAAAGACGGAGTGCTCCTTAGTTTACATATGATCTTTGCCAAGGTCACAAAACTGGCTGTTAAAATCCAGCTCCCTTAACTTCTTTTATCACATGATACATTTGAACAACCTCGTTTATTCAGATATTAGTGCTTCCCCCTACCCCTTTCCTTTGTCAGCCAAATGACTGAAACTGGGTTAGATATGTCAGATGGTGATTTCTCCCCTTTTATACCATTTCTGAATTTCTAATGTCATCATCTTTAGACTTGACCAACAATAGCCTCCCATCTCTTCCTTCCAAAGAAAAACAATTCTCTATCAATCATTCAACTGCTTCTATAGTATCCCTCTACTTCACAGGTTATATTTTTAGGGCCCAATTCCTACTGTCTTTACTTTTTCTTACTTTCTGAAAAGAACTCCTTCTTAAGCTTTTCCTAGTTTTTGGCACTGAGTACATACATAGAAAGCATTCAACTAATATTTATTGAATTTAATTGCTCTTCCTTATACTGTTATAATGGCTTTTGGTAAGATCCTCTCTACTTAAAAATAGTCCCACAGTCCTGTCATCTGAAACAAATGTATCCAATGTGCTTCAAATTTAATACATGGCTAATGAGGCACTCCTCCACTGATCCTCAGAAACAGGAATCACAGAAATTCCAAACAAATCCACTGTCATTCAAAAAAAAAAAAAAAGTAAATAATAGTCATGTCAAAATTCAGATGTATGAATCCAGGACACAGTGAGATAAAAAGCATTACAATATAAGCCACATATAACCTTAATATTGTACTTGTAAAGTGCTTCCAGAAATATTTAGTATCTATAATCTACATAATTTTAGAGTTAGCCTATAAACATACTATGAATAAAAATACCTTTAGATCTATACTACTGATACTGCCAAATTTAAGAAGAAGACCACTCAATTTATTATTCTTGCCTCTGCCTTTCCAAGACTTTTCCATTTTCTTGACAGTTATTTTCAATAGCACTAATGAGGTAAAAAAGACATGCGGTATAGCTAACACGGTAATTACACTAAATGTAAAAATAAAACACCAAAATCAAAGCCAGGACACCTAAAATGAGTATAATATTGTTGGTATATCTACATGCATTTATAAAGATCAATCTTTTTAGGAAATAGGAAGAGGGAAGAAAAATATTTCCAAAATAACTTCAATAACGTCTTTGCTTACCATACCTTTTACAAAACTGATTGCAGAAATCTTACATGCTCAAGAACACAGACCTCTGAAATTCTAGGCATCAAAATGTTTATCAGTCTACTAAAATTATGGTGGTGTGCTTCCAATGGGGGGCGGAGGGGAGGAGGAGATCACATCCATATATACTCTCGAATAAGGAATTGGTGAGGGAATATGTACATATAAATAGTTTCTAAAAACATTTTTCTAAGATCTTAAAATCATTTTCTAAAAAATCTTCTTTAACTCTTCAACTCTATTTTTTCAAGCAAATGTTCTTATATTACTTTAGAAGTACTTTAAGTAATATTTCAACTCCTTCAAATCATTGTATGTATCAAAAAAATTTCATTGTGACCATTAATAAACAAGACACCCCCCCACCCTACCCCCACCACTAAGTTTAGTATTTTTACCTGGTCTTGGTACTGGCTGTGCTGCAGGAGTCTGAGTCTTACGAGCCGATGCACCCTCCTTTAAAAGAATAAATATTGACACATGATGTAAGAGTTCCTTTACATAATAAACACTTATATTTAATTACTGCAACGAAATTCCATATCTGTGTATTTCTCAATCAGTCCTTCCCCTGAACACGTTATGGTCCTAAGCATTAAAAACAAACAAACAAAAAAACCCTCTCTTATCTTTTATTCTATTGATCATGAAGTAATAACAGGAGTCTTTAGTAGAAAATAAATTTAAACTGTTACCACACAGTAGTTATAGTAAGCATGTAGTATTTTTCAAATATTCAATGATTTGCTAAATTGTTGACAACTGTTGACAATATTCAAATATTCAATGATTTGCTTAATTGTTGACAATATTTGCAGCAATGTTATTACTCATTTTAAAATCAAGTCAATCTTTATTCCATTAAACAATCTCAAAATGAATAAATGATACATAATCTCACATTAGAAAGATGTAAATGATGTTACTTCTGGAGTGCATTTAAAAACCCCAAGAACATTTCAAATTAAATTCCTTGAAAATATTCAGTGAAATTAATCACATTTATAAAGATGAGATTTGTTACATTTAAGAGGGGTTGAAAATTTTAACTAAATAACAAATCTCAACTAATTACTAAGTATGTAATATACAGAAAAAACTATGCTAAGTATTGAAATGTATCAATTATACACTCAGGACTAGATGCCTCTGAAATGCTTAAGATACTTAAAAGTTGTCTTTAGTATAACAGTTTCAATCATGTTCACACTTAACAGAAAGCTACAAATGAAAAAATAGCTACAAATGTACTTTTCAAAACAACTAGTAATTCATGGAGATCTTACTCTAGTTGTACTCAAACTGAAATGAAATTTGGTAACTACCAGGGAAGTTCCATAAATCCATAATAATAAAAATCAGTATCAGAACCACAAAAACAGGGATCCCTGGGTGGCGCAGAAGTTTGGCGCCTGACTTTGGCCCAGGGCGAGATCCTGGAGACCCGGGATCGAATCCCACGTCGGGCTCCCGGTGCATGGAGCCTGCTTCTCCCTCTGCCTATGTCTCTGCCTCTCTCTCTCTCTCTCTCTCTGTGACTATCATAAATAAATAAATTAAAAAAAAAAAAGAACCACAAACATTTCTAAAGAAATAACTGTTAAATAACTTTAATCTTAACCATTCAAAGCTTGAGATTTTGCATAGTAAAATAATTTGGGATGGTAGGCTATACCATGGTTGTTTTTAAAGAACTACACCAATTAAAAAGATATCAGCTTTCCATCTCCTGTTCCTGCATAAAGAGGAATCAACTCAATATTATATAATAAACATGAAAATAAAATAAACATTATCTATATTACTTAGAAATCCTTATATGTAAATACTAAGTCATGGAGTATGGCTTAAGTATACACAGAAACAGAAAAAAATAAAAAGAAATAAGACAGGAAGAACAGTGAGTACACAAATATGCACACATCTTTCTGTCTACATTTGACTAGAAGGCTGGTTGGATCCAAATCAAAGCCTTCTTTTGAAAAGAGTAGACGAAGTTCAAAATCACAAGAACACAACAGCACTATGTGCATATTGAGAACTATCCGAACCAAACTGATTCAGCTTACTGTTAAAATAAACCTATACTAAATGCACAGACTACAGCTCTTATAACACAGGTCAGCAAAAGGTACAAGCACACAGAAGTAATATGAAAAAAGTCTTTTCCATAACGAATCACAACTCAAGTGTTTTTATCTACTTTTGAGTAAACTCAATACTGGGACCTCTTTAAATATCAAAAAATGGGTATTTTCTGTTTGCAAAGTAAGCTGTCATTGCTTGATGACCTTCTACTCCAAATTATTTCTTTTCTGGAATAAGCCTTGGCCCTTGGTTACTGGAGGAGGCATGTGTCCTAGCCTAGGTCAGTTAAGAGTTCTCCCCTGAGTTATGTTTTATATATTGGAACTAGTAAGTTACACCTCTAGCTACAAGGCTGCAAAGGTGGCAAACCAAACATTACAGATGATCATATATCTCTTGACTCACGGGGAAAGCCCATCTGCAGGACAGAATGATACTAGTATGCACAAAAAAGAGGTGAAATACAACATCCCTTTTAACACCTATCTAGTTATAATACCCTGAAAGACTATTCTCCCTCCAATTTATTCTTGATTATATGAACCTTTAAAAGCCCTCATCTCACCAACCTATATACTCCCATACACATTTTCATCTCACTTAGTTGAGCAGAGTTACTGTTAGTTGCAACCAAGTTTTATTTAATTTTGTCTCCTCAGTTGTACTGAAAATTCTGGGTTGCCAAAGTCATTGTAGTATAACTTTGCTTAATTTTGGAATTAGTAAACACAAATAAGTTTAATTGCAAGCACATATTCACACATTCTCTCTCTCTCACACACACACGCACACACACACACATACACAGCTATACAGATACTAAATTGGAGACTGTGGGTTCCTTGAAAGAAAACTGGGAAGATCTTTGATAATCATGTCGTTAGTTTACAGCCGTAGCCATTTTAGGACTACCTAGCCAACCCTAAGAGCTAAAAGTTCATTCGACTCCGATCCATACTATTTTGAAATAAAATTATAAAAAGTCATTGCATAAAGAACCTCGGACACTATATAATCCAACCACACCACTTTTTAAAGATGAAGAAACAGAGGTGAAGTTTTTCAAAGGCTACAAAGTGGCATATGTTAAAAATCAGGAATAATAATTTGGCAGTAATATGGGGAAGAGACTGACAGTTCTACATTTTTAAAGATACCTGGATTGAGGGAAAAATAATACCCATCTGGGAAAATAAAGTATCAGCAAAAAACAACCACCACCACCAAAAAAAAAAAAAAAAAAAAACAAAAAAAAAACAAAAAAACAAAACAAAAAAAAAAAAACAACTAAAGGAGCTGACAAGTTGTGCTAACTGGAGAGGAAAACATGCTTTCTCTTGAAAAGTCAGAACAATTATAATTTCCACTGAGACTTGAAGCACTCTGAAAAAGAATAACAGGTAAGAATGGGAGAAGTGATAGAATCCTTTTTGTAAAACATAACAAGGCAAAACAAAGTATGCTGTTTATAATCCTTACTTGCTTTATTTTAGCAAATGAGAAAATCTAAAAATCTTCCAGTACTAGGAAAGACAATATTGGTATTTGCTGCTTTAAACAAGCAGAAAATAATACCGATATGTAATACCATAAGGAAAAATATCTGTGACAAGTATCAGTATGAAAAGGAATACATTATATGTACTTAATTTGGAAAAAATGCTATTTATATGAAACTTCACAAAATACTGAAAATTCTAAATGAATAAAAGACACAGAATATATATGCAGACTCTACATGTTTATAATCTACCTTTTTGACTACTATATTTATGACATCAAAAGTAACATGTTTTAAAAATGAAATACTCATTATACCCTTATATGTTTTTGTCTTTCTAAAGTAACACATATCCCTGAAATTTGGATTTGATATTTAGAATTCCCAAATATTAGAATGCTCTTTTAAAAAAACATCTGAATTTTAAGTACACTGAGTGAATCTTAAAAAAAAAAAAAAGGTATTTTGGAAAAACGATGTAGAAAAAGACAATTGCAACTCTGTAGACAAATGACAATGAGGCTGAGAACAAGAGATGTCAAGAGCAAAACACAAGTTATAAGCATATTTTTTTTACATTTGCCATAACCAGAATAATTATGCATACAGTATTTGCCAACACAGAAAACAGCTAACATGTTTCTAAAATATACTGGAGAATCTCTATAAACTATATAGATTTGAAACCTCTATCAAATCCCCCATTTTGCTATAGAATTCTCTATTTACTTGTCTGTTTTTCTCAGACTGTAAGCTAACTTAGGACAGGTACTGTCTATTATGCCTCCAATGCCTATTACTACCATGGTGTGCCTGATGCATGGTAGGTCCTTAAAAAAATATACATTAATTAAAACAAATCCATTTGCCTTAATATTACTAATTCACTACTGTTAAGCTGTTTTAATCTGTCAAATAAAAATGGTGAAAATATACATGATTACTGATAGAATTAAACAACATTTATTTATTCTACACACATTCGCCAAAGCACTGCATGCCAAATAAACCGGCAAAAGCAAGGTGGTCCCTGCCTTCACCAAGTTTTGCAATTTCATGATCAGAGAATGCAGGTTTTAAAATTATAATTACATATGTATTCTTATTTGTAACGTGCATATGTGTATTTTCTAAAATGTGTATGTGTATGTTCATTTCAGTGTCCAAAATAACGAAGAATTAATAGTTATTAAACCAACTTCTTTCCATAAGGAAACATTCTCTTAAGAAAAGAACTGGCAAATCAATTCAGCAGTATACTAAAAAGATTACACACCATGACCCAGTGGCATTTATTACTGGAATGCAAAGATGGTTCGACATATGAAAATCAATAGATACGGATATATATTAACAGATTGAAGGGAAAATACATGACATGTCAACTGATACAGAAAAAGTACCTGACAATTTAACATCCTTTCATGATTTAAAAACAGTATCACACACACCTTATCAAACTAGGAATGAAAGGAAACTTCCTCAATATGATAAAAATTAAATATGAAAAACTCACAGCAGCTAACATCTTCACTGGTGAGAGACTGAAAGCTTTTCCCTTAAGATCTGGAACAATATGTCCAGTTTCACCATGTTGATTCAACATATCATCTGAAATTCCAGCCAGGACAATTAGGAGAATGAAAGAAAGAAAAGAAAGAACAAAAGAATGGAAAGGAAGGGAAAGGAAGGGAGAAGAAGGGAGAGGAAAAGGAAAAGAAAGGGAAAGAAAAGGAAAGGGGATAAAAAAGCACACCTGAGTGGCTAAGTGTCCAACTCTTGGTTTTAGCTCAGGTCATGATCTCAGTCTTGAGATCCAGTGCCACCTATGGTTCCTCACTTAACACTGAGTCTGCTTGTCCCTCTC